ACTCTCACCCCAGGGCCCAGCACGGCCCTCCCCCGTGCTGACGTCACACTCACCCCAGGGGTCAGCACAGCCCCTCCCCAGTGCTGATTTCAGGCTCACACGGTCCGACAGGAGTCGCCTCTGCTGACCTCTCCCTGCTCTCCAACATCACACTCCAGACACCCCATCTTCCTGTGCGCATTTTGTCCCTGCCTTGTGACTCTGGCTGCTGCCATCCTAGAATTCCTTCTCGGAATTTGGATTTCAGCTTTAATGCCACCTTCCGAGAGAGGCGCTGACCATGTGGCTTACTACACATCATCCTCCTATCTTAGGTCTCTGCAGGGTGCTAACTGCTGTTGTATTTTCTACTCTCACTCACTGCCCATTACCCTCCACTAGAATATCAACTCCATGCAGGGACTTTGTTTACTTTATTGCTATTGTAACCTAGACACATCCTGGCTTCTCAGCACTCAGTAAACGAATTCAGGAGCTATACGAAGGCGGCAAAGAATAGACTTGAGAGAACAGAGAAACTGAAGGAGAGAAAAACCATCAAGAAATAATTCAGTAATGTTTCCCAGAACCGAAAGCTTATGAATTTCTAGAATGACAGGGTCCACTGAGTTAATTAGCACCATGGTGGGGGAAGGTTGGACACATACATCCCGATGTTTACACATTCAAAAACTCGACTTACATGCCCCATTTCTCAGGAAGCTAGGGGGTGGTGTTTCACCAGAAGGAAGTAAATGAAGAAGAGGGAAAAAATAGGATAAGAAAACGAAACCGAAGCCAGGGTTCCAATACGGCAGAGAAGGGAGAGCCAGGAGGCTGGGCACAGGTGAGGGGCACAGGTGAGGGGCAGCCGTCCCAGACTGAAGGTCAGGAGGCGGCAGAGACGGCACTGAGAAGAGAACCTGGGAAGTGAGCACCCTGAGGGACCCTGACTCCCAGCCAAGTCTTTGGGGTTCAGTTAGTAACAAGGATGTAGGAGATGAAGCAAAAGGGCAGAAAGAGGCAATTACAGCAGGGAAGACGAAGCCGCACAGGAAGGAAAAGCAGCCACGTTTGCCAGTGGTCCAGGTGTGAACTGCTTTCAGAGACACCGGACTCAGCTGCCTGAGCTCAGGGTGGGTGGGGATGGGAGCCCAGAGCTCGACCCCCTCCTGCCGTGGGGGGTGGGAGGGCAGGCAGTGTTCTTTCTCCTTTGTGGGAACACGGAAGGCAGACTGGACCATGTGTGTAGTTGCAGCTCACGTATAAAAACTACTTACAAAATAGAAAGGTTCCAGAGAACTTGCTGAGTAAGTACCCTCTGGTAACTTTCTGTTCTAAGATGGTGTCACCCAGTATGCAGTTTTGTTTATGACTTTGCAAGGCCGTTTTATGCTGACACTTGCTCGTCTACAGATTATCCTCGAAGCATGACCCTTGTGAGACTCGGTAAAGCAACAATGACCTGAAGGCATTCATACTTTGTTCAAATGGAAATGTTCCCTATTTAATAACTATGAGCTTTTAATTATACAATGATCACCTTAAAACATTTCAGAAACCTCATTATATAAAAATTCTTTCCAAGAAAGGAGAAAAGGCATTTTGAGAATTATGAAAATTTTCCATAAATAAAAGATTAGTAGAGTATAATTTCAGGGAACAATTCACATCAACCAACAAAATAAATTTTCAAGAATTTCAAGCATATGCTGGTGATTATTGTCTCTCAGGACTCAAATGCAGATTAACTGACCTTATTATAACTGATAACGCACATTGTATGTCTATAATTGACACATTTTGCATATCTGTATTTGGAAAGAAAAGTAAAAAGAACAATTAAAATAAAAAGGGAGAACCTAAATGAGTCATAAACGAGATCTTGAAGGGGCTTTATCCCACTCTTCCGTTTCCACCTTTAATATGGCAGTTTAAAAAAAATCAGAAAGAGGTCAGAACCAGAGAGTTGAATGTGTCACACAGCAGGACAGAGTCTCTGCTGTATTTCCTTTGGGCACTGCTTATTTTCTGAGGAAAGATTCTGGGAGTGCCACCAATGTCACCTTCTCATGGCCCCATCATGCACTCTGCGGATGCTGGGGCTCAACCAAGGGCTGGCCCCGTGGGAAGGGAGGTAAGGGGGCTTTTGTCTGGGGGAGCACAAATGACAGCGCGTGTGCAACAGCGTGTGAGCAAGCAGTGTGTGCGCAAACAGCATGAGAGCAAAGTGTGTGCAGACAGCGTGTGAGCAAACAGCGTATGTGCAAAGAATGTGTGTGCAGACAACAGCGTGTGTGCCAACAGCCTGTGAACAGAGTGTGTGTACAGAGGACAGCGTTATGTGCAAAGAGTGTGTGAGCAAATGGTGGGCAGAGCTGCAGGTACACGTCCCAGAAGGGGTGGGGGAGCAAAGCCTGGGGCCACTGTCCGTGGAACCTCTCTGTAGCCAGACTAAGAAGGTCTGGGGGTATCTGAGTTATAATAAAATATGTGTAAACCCAGGCTGCTCATTCATCAAGTTTTTATTAAGCACCTACTATGTGCCCACACTGCAGGCGGTGCCGCAGGGAGTGCAGAGGAGAAGACACGGTCTCCACCCTCCAGGACCTTACAAACCTAGAGGCAGGATCAGGTGGATGTGTGACCCGGCAGCACGGGACACATGCACGGGGCAAGTCCCAGACTGTGGAGGCCAGTGGCTGGGGACACGTGGTCTCTGGGGCAGGCTGCTGGCAGGCTGTGGGGCTGGCCACGAGAGGGCCCTGGACACAGGCTGGGACGGGGCTGGGCCTGGGCGTACGAGGCCAGGCTCTAACCTTCTCCTGACCCGAGGACCCGGTGACCTCTCCTGTGCCCACCACCGCCCTTCTCCCAGGAGAACAGACTGTGTGTGTGGAGTCAGGCGCGACACAGGCTTCCTGCTTTGTAGCCTGCAGCAGACTTGTCCAGGCTTCCAGGGAGGGGATTCCAGGTGTGGCTTCAGCGGTATTTGCCCTGGTGCTTTCAGAGGACTGGTCAAGAGCAGGATATTCTGGACGCCCAGGACAATCCTGTGGCCACACCCACGGGTTATATTGATCACTGGTCACAAGTGGTGAACCAAAGCCACACGTACGCAGATCCTTCCCCCAAGTCCACAGGTCCTCCAGGGGGTCCCGCCTTCTTCAATGCACACACATCAGATGCTCAGCTCTCTCCTGGAGAAGCATGGAGCCCATGCTGACCCCCGACTCCGCGGCACTCCAGGAGGCTTATTACGCAGCCCGGAAACCGTGGCGGGCTTTTGCCCTGTCCACTAGCGTGTGTGTGGGTGCTTGAGACTCTTGAGCTGGGGGGCAGCGCGGCTGTCTCAAGTGCTGGGGAACGCAGGCAGCAGAGAGGGTCTGGGCAAGCGGGAAGCATGTGGATTGGGCCTCACAGTCACCTGCTTTTTCCTAGGAAGAGTCAGCGTGGGATGCTGGACGGGGCAGCAAAACACTGCTTCTCCTCTAACTCAGCATGGAGAGTGCAGAGCTGGGTCAAAGGCAGTGGGCAGAAGAGGGGCCCCATGGCCCTCGGGTTGGAAGTGTGCATGGGGAGCCCCGGGGGCTGGGGGAAGAGCCTGACTACGGCTGTATGGCACAGCAGCAGCACTGAGCAAGCCTCCACGGGCCCCGGCCATGGGGGGCAGGGGCCCACCTGCTCCAGGTGGGATGGCCAGACACCCTGTTCCCAGCACAGTCCAGGGCTCCCAGGGGAGGGGGGCGTCGGGGGTCATGGGCTGGGGGGGGCGCGGGGCTCAGGGTCTCAGCAGGAGGCGTGTCCCAGGCCACTTGAGCCACAGGAAGGGCACCAGGCGCCGGGTGAAGGTGGCCGTGAACGTGTAGATGAGCTCTTGTGACTCGGCGTTGGTGAAGGTTACGGTGCCCCCCTCGTAGTCCAGGGCGATGCCCACCCTCCGCGGCCGCAGCGCAGGGAAGAGCTCAGCCTCGGGGTCAGTATTGGCCCAGATGCCCGCAGATGAGAGGCGCAGGGCCCATACCCCGTCCTCTGGCCGCAGGGACACGTCTCCCTTCCTCTTCACAGAGTCTCTGGCCACCCCCACCATGCAGCTTTCCAGGACCTCCTCCCCCTCCTCCTCCTCCTCCTCCTCCTCCTCCCCCAAAGACTCCTCGTCCTCATCTGTCTCCCAGTCTTCGTACCCGTCCCCATAGCCGGCCTCCTCCTCCTCCTCCTCCTCCTCCCCCTCCTCCTCCTCCTCCCCGTCCTCCTCCTCCTCGGACCAGCCCTCCCTGTCCACCTCCACCTCCCAGTACACCTTGCCCCAGGTGAAGCCCTTACTTCCCAGCACACCCGGCTCACAGTCAAACTGATGCGGGTGCAGGTAAGTGCTCTGGTACAGGCCACTGTACGTCACACACTTCCAGTCCTCTGACAGCTGCAGGTACCCGCTGGCCGACTGCGGGTCCAAGGTGACACTCACTGCGGGGACAGCAGAACCAGGAGTCACCAGTAGGCGGGAGGCAGGTCTCCAGGGCTGCCCACTGAATAAGCCCAGGGGGACCAATCCCAGCTCAGGGGCATGCAGGACACGACCTGACAGCAGGGCCTGGGGCACACACGGCCCCTGGCCAGTTGCATGTCTTGCAGAGGAGGGTCAGACGATCAAGTACAGGCCTCTGTGGCTGATTACAGACACAATGCGGGGGCTCAGACCAGCAGCTGGGAAATCTCGCTGCAAGAGGGAGGGGCCAGGGACAGCAGGGACCAGGGTGCCTCTCTGGGGGGAGGGCGTTCTTTTTCTCTACAGGAGGTGAACTGGGACAGCCCTTCGGACACTTACCCGTCTTGTATTCCAAGTCTCTAAGCAGCTTCCCTGGGGAGGAAAAACACAGCAGTGACCCTCGAGCCCCACCCACGTATGGGCCTGTGTCCTACTAGGACAGGAATCATTTCCTGACAGGCCCCCATCCCTGAGACCCAAGAAGAGAAGAGAAAACAACCAGCAGACTCAGGAGTAAGGCCGAACAAGGTGACAGCAAGGAGCTGATTCCACTCCTCCAAACAGAGCCCTGGCTCCGGACTCGATCTGCGACTCCCAGCTCCTGACCCCCCACCCCGTGCCCTCCCTGCCCAGCTCCTGACCCCCACCCCCGTGCCCTCCCTACCCGGCTCCCGACTCGATTCACAACTCCCAGCTCCTGATCCCCACCCCAGTGCCTTCCCTGCCCAGCTCCTGATCCCCACCCCTGTGCCCTCCCTGCCTGGCTCCTGACTCGATTCGAGACTCCCAGCTCCTGATCCCCACCCCCGTGCCCTCCCTGCCCGGCTCCCGACTTGATTCACGA